AAAAATGTATTTTCCCATCTCAGGCATTAGTTTTCTTTTATTATTGATCATATTTTTAAGATGTAGTGACTGTAATTCTTCAACCCTGTTATGGACATTTTGGAGGCTGTCTGAATATTATCATAAAATGTATTTCTAAAGAAATCAATATGTTTACATTAGTTAGATGTCCCCCATACTAATTCAATAATTTTACATAGAAAAATGACATAAAATCACACATTTTTACCCTTTTAAATCCTGAAATGTAACTAATGAGTGAAAGCAATCTTTTCATTTTTCATCAAAAATTTAGTTTAACTAAGAATTGTAATCTAAATCAATGATCAGATGATAGCGCTCAATATTTTAGACAGAAATCAGCAAACATTAAATTATTTTTTCAACATTTTAAGAAAATTATATATGAAAATGGAGGTGTGACGGGGTTGAGACTAGCATAACAGGGTTGAAGATGGTAACAGGGTTGAAGAGACAAATACAGCTTTACATATAAACAGTTGTTTACTCTTAAATTCAATGTACAGGGCTTTCCATTAGCATTATATCTCACTTTGTAACCATAGGAAGGACACCAGATACAAATTACCGTAGAATCAAGTTTTATTAATCTCAAGTAAAAACAACCACAACAGCACATTAACAACTAGCAAACATTGTGAAGTGAATTGCTCAAATGTAACATAATGCGTGTGTGTGTGTGTGTCTAGGCATAAGAGAGCCTCATGAGGTGTGCTAAAAGTCACCTCATCCTTGCTCCGATAACATACAATTAAACTTGATGAACTGGTTGAACTAATAACAATAATAATCAGTTAACGATTTCAATGTGTCTGTCTGTATCAGTGCCTGTGTCCATGTCAGAGTGTTTTTGCATGTGTGTGCCTGCATCAGTGTGTCTGTATATAATCATGAATGTGACGGTTGTTTTATGAATTCATCTTGTGAGTCGGTTCCACACCTCTTTCAAGACTTCCACATGGCGCTTTGTCACAGCCCGTGGGGGTGGAATGAGTTCAAGGACATCATCAAACAGGTACCAGAGGATATCATCCTTATGCGGCCAGAAGAATCGGTTTAACCCAACACGATGCATGCATTTGACCTGGACTTGTGTTATTTGTATGTTTAGAATGATGCCTGGATATAAATCATCATCATATCTGAGAATACACCATTTACCAATCAGCTCTGGACTTTCCCACTGGATTTCTTTTTCTGGATTCCCCCCACTGCCTGTCTGTGATACAGCCGTTTCTATCTTCTGGCCAAAAGTGAAACACTTGGTGTTGAAGCACTTGCAGTTAAACTGCTTCCGTGTTGTGCACATGCAGCTTACATCACGAGCCATCAGTTCTCCTGGAGCTACAGTAATGACCTGGTGAATTCTCATGGTTCCAGGAACAGCTGGTATCTGCTTCGGCATTTTCTCCATAGCTTCCTCAACATCTTCACTTTTCACAAAGAACAGTTTCACACTTGTGTTTGTTTCAGACAAGGCCCTGAATAACTCTTCTGCATCTGGGATGTCATGCCCCTTTGCTACCATCATGTCAGCTGCTCTTTTTAAGGCTCCCCCGACACCATCTGGTGCTCCTTTTCCATGACTAGCCTCAAAAAAATTCCAAGAACCAGCCTTGAATCCTCTTCTGTC